ATGCTCAAATTAAATCCAGAGAAAATTAGTTTTTTACATAAATTCTTTCAAGTTCATCCACTTTCAATATTTTGACCAAAAATACATTTCCTTTCTAGTCTACAACCTTGTAGAGTTAGGTGGAATGTCTTTGCTATGACTAAAAATTGCAGGCATTAACTTCATTTATTCTTGGGATTTTTTTATTCACTCATTTGTGAATTCATTGGACAAAATTTATTAGGCACTTATTATAGAAAAACACAGAGCTTGATGTCAGACCCTGTCCCTGAGGAGCTTGCATTTTATTACAAAGACAGAGCATACACATAAGTAACCTTAGCACAAGGTAGAAAGCATTAAGCTCTAGTGGAGAAATACATAACTGCTTTGGGAAATCAGAGCAGGCAAGGATTTCTAGCAGAGCCATTCAAAGAACGCTTGTTGAGAATATGACATGGTGTGGCATCCTGAAAGAGGGAGCATGAAGCAAAGGGGGTGGCCGCCATCATAAGTAGGTCACAGTGTGACCATGGGAATGGTTAGAAGAGGCCACGCACTGGCAATGGATAGTTAGGACAAAGTGTCAGACGAGAGCATTTCAGGAGATACAGTGGGAAAAAAAGTTGGGCCAGCTGTAGAGTTAATGCGTGAGGGGATCAATATCTTTGTGAGGCAGGGTTTGAACCTTAGTCATAAGGTAACAGGGTGCCATTAGCCTCTTCCAATACACAGTTTTTAAAACTTTTTCTCTTGAAGCAATTTTATAGTAAGAGTTAACAAAGATAATACAAAGTTTCTTGATATCCAGAAAGTAGCCTACATCATGCTTTTTTAATGTAATGATTTATATAGCATTCTTACGCTCCTGTGATTGTATCCCTTCTCTCACACTTGGTGAGACCTACGTCTTGGTTTTTCCTTAACCAGACATGCCAAAGTTTTGTCTTTTTATCTTTCCAAAGATAGTTTTTGGGTTTTGTCTGTCAAGTTTGCCAGGATTTGCTCCATTTCATCAGCTCTCCTAAAGTGTCCCTGAAGCTCCCTGTCTATTCAGTATGATTTCCAAAACAGAAGAATGTGTAAATGTAGATCCACCTTTTAAGCAGAATGCTTTCCGTAAATCCTGCGTAGCTATAGCTCTTGCCATGATCCTGCTGCCCATGGGGAGGGTCATTTCAATCTGAAAACTTGTGATTTTCTTTACTTGAAAGAAAGTAACTGCTTTTGTTATGTCCTTTCCTCTAGTGCTTTGGCTGTTCCTGGAACTCTTGTTAACACTGACTGTTATGATTTATCTACTCTCCTGTACTGTCTTCTTCAACCTCTTTGCCTTTCTGCTATAAATTCTAAAAAATTTACTTTATTTCTGTTTTTAACTTTACTGTGCCTTACCAGTTTCCATGCCATCTGTATGCACTTGTCAGTTTGTTTTTCTTTTATTTATTGTTTCTATTGTTCTAATTTGGCAAGCACATCTTAACTTTCTTGTGTCTTGCTTATTTTTTTCTGTTTTAGGGATCAATATCTTTGTGAAGTTTTTTGAGGATTCCTGCTGTAATATTCTCTTATGTTCTGATATCCTGTGTTATCTGAATTGCTTTGTTCATTTGCTTTCCTGCCTTGGCCTTATCTTATATGGCATTGGCTTTGCTCAAATGTTTGCTGATCTTTAGTTCACTGACATTTCATGTACAAGGAAGCCTATTGGTTTAGGTGGCCAATAAGACCTCTGTCCCTGGATGAGTAAGTGTGTTTCTCTGAATGAGACAGCTCATGGTGCTCTGATGACTGGGGATGTGTGTTGACTGGCAGACATCCCCTCGGAATCCTTAATAATGGACCCGCAGGCACATGTGCGTTAGAAAGCCTCCTCCTCAACTGCTGCCTTTCTTCCCTCTTCTTTCCCTCATCCTTGCCACTGGTGTCTGGGGTACATCAACCTCTATTATGAGATTCTCGTTGCAATTGTTCTCATTAGGCAACTCACTTCCATTCATGAGTGGTCAAAATCCACTGCTGACTACCACTCAGGCGCGAGGAAGATAGCACCTCACTGGCTCATTGGGTCAGCAGTGTTGAAAGCAGTTCTTTAATGAGCCCTAAAATTACCTCAGGACACCCTCCAGCTCTTTGCATTTGTTCATCTGGTCCTGTGGTTTGTCAAGCTCTTCTTTACTTTCAAAGAATGTTTCTACTGTATATGTTTAGACTGTGGTATTTTTGTGCCTAATGTTTTGATTTTGTGTTCATCTCCCATAATTGCCTCAACATTCAACTCTTCCAGTGGCACCCTTTCTTGTTGCCCAAAAGATTTACTTCTTTTCAAGTACATCTTTGACATTGTAAGGCATTTTAGCCTAGCAAAGAGGAAGAGGAATGTGCTAGGTCGGCTATTTTGATTTAGTCTTGAGACTCTACTGCTGCTGCTCTTTTACATTCCAAAAGAGACATTCATCTTGTTGATTCTGCCAGATCACTGCAGGCTCTTTGAGGACTGTTTGCCTAGTGGTCTCAGTCTTAGTTGTCCATCCCAGCTTTAATTATAACTTAGGTGTTGGAAAGCCACTGAGGACAGTTAGTCTAAAACATGCTTTCTCTTCAACTCCCCACCTGACGGGGGACTAGATAGCCCCCGTGTCTTCAGTGAAATTTACCACAAGAATAGGAGAGAGCCTGCCAACTCCTTACTGAAGGGCACTGTCCCCATTCTAACCACCGTGTTCTCTAATCTTCTGTCATTGGAAATGGAACCCATACTTTGCACTGGAATTGCCCTTCTGAAGGTTGTTAAAGACACTGCATTTATCACAGCTCCTGGGCGCAGCTCAGTGGATTCTGTACTATGGCTGATGCCTGCAGTCTGCATCCTTTGTCTCACGGGGTCACGTTTCCTGGCTTCCATACCATTCCCTCTTCTGGTTCTTTGTCCTTTTCTGGACAATCTCAGATTTTTTAGAGAAATATTTTTCTTTTTCTTTCCCCCCTGAAACCACTCCTAAGGTCATTTGTTTTTAGATCTTCTTCTGCATAGCAGACATTGGCAGTGGTACAGACAGCTCCTGCTCAGAAAGGTGGACACACAGTTTGCATCATTGCTTTAGTCTCGGGTCCCATGCTCTTAGCTGGTTGCACATCTCTGCCAGGGTCTTCCAGGTGCTGGACACTGGCTCCATCCCTTTCTTCCAGGTACTTCTCCTCCTCTTGTTTTTTGCTCAGTGACTAAATCCAACACTGTGGTGTCATGCTACCTCCCACGCCTCCTGATGTTCTTTCCTCTTTCCCACCGGACTTGGCTGGCTCTGCAGCTCACCTTCCTGCCACTCACTGCTCACTTCCTATCGGCCTCTCAGTCTTCAGCTTTATGTAGCTCTAAAGCATCTTCAGGTCAGAGTAACCTTTCTGAAAGACATCTGAATACAGCACTCACCTCTGGGGGTTCTGATTTTATATAGTGTGAAACCCACACTCCTGTGCAATGTGTGATGGTCCCTTAGGGTTTGATGTACATGCCTAACCATCCTTTCCTGAGGGATCTTGCCCCACAGACTGTCGCTCTCACAATTAGGAAAGTGCCTATGCTTTCTTCTTGCTCGTTGCTTTGCACACAGCTTTCCTCACACAGAGAATTCCACCTCTTCTTTCCCAACTAGCCAGGATACCCTCAGCCGAATGTCTCTGCTTGCATTTACATTTCCTAGGAATCCTTTGATTTCTCCTAGGCAGCATAGGTTAGTGAGTCTGTTTATTAAAGTATGCACTTTCCTTACTCTACAAAGGATTTGTCAAAATAGAAAACAGATACATCAGGTACCAGGATAAAACAGATGAGTCAGGCACTAAATTCAAAGGGAGAGTAAAGATAAAAATATAAACAATACCAGGTACTACGATAGTCTTAAAAATGATTGATATTCAATTCTCTAGACTTACACTGCATAGAGCTACACTGAAATTTACCTCTGGGCTTCTTAGTTGTCAAAGCTAAGAGATGAACTTGATTGTTTATGGGTTTCATAATGTCCTGAAACTATAAATAAAACATCTTTGCAAGGTACTGAAAATTGAGAGATAGTTTATTACATTAACGAGGTACTTATAAAGGGGACTGCTAAATCTAGAAGTTCCCTTCTTTGTGCTTTCACTGACCCTTGGATATCACTCTGTAATTACCATAAAGTTTTTTTGTACATTGATTTCCTCAGGGTATGCATGATATCCTCAGGCCGCTGCTTGGTATTTTCTTGTTACTCAATGAGAATTTGTTTCATACACTGGGAAAGCAGATATGGATGGTAATGCTAGCAAGTGTTTTTGTGTAAGTTGGTATACAGCTAGAAATGCATCATCATTTACACCCCATCAGAAACATTTAACCAACTGGAAGGTTCTTTATCATTATAAAAACAGTATGTGGAATACTTATGAGGTACCAGACATTGTGCTAATCACATTAGTACATATGTATTTCATAGGACTTCCAGCCAATCCTGTGGATAGTAGTTCTCAACTCCAAGGTGGGGAGAGAAGAGAAGTTAAGTTTCTCAAGGGTAGATGGTGACAGAAGAGAAGGTAGGCTCAGCACGCGCACTTGAATGAACCCTGTGGCACCCCTCGCTTTGCTGCTGGTTCATGCTTTGGTGTGTGGAGTAAACTGATTAGCATTTGATTTCCAAAGTAGAGATTCCTACTGATGGGAAGGCCCTGATAAAAGGGCTTTGAAACCGTTTTGCAGTATGGTAAGTTTTATTTAAAAAAAAAATAGAAGGAAAAGAGCAGCAGCTAGCTGGCAAATAAAACACTGTGCTATAAAGTTCATTTTCCAGAAAGAAATATCAGGGCACATCCTCATATAAAACACTTCCATTTTTAAAAATTGGAACATTTAACTGATTTTCTGGTATATGTGATTAAATATGACATAGCTTCATTCCCTAGATCCAAGAAAATTTGCCCCTTTAAGGATTTGTTCCATTTTAATCCAACTTACTTTCACTGATGAATTGACAGTTGCTTCTTACCTGAAAGTTGCCAAAGCAGCTCCCTCCTGGGAGCGTCACGTAACTCACAAAGGGAGGCCCAGAAGACGGCAGAGACTCGTAGACCACCACGCCTTCACTTGGGAAGGTGGCCTTCTGCTGCTGCTTGCTTTCCCAGAATTCCTGTAACATTGATACAACGTTCACTGAAAAAGACAAGAGACATCATGAACGATTAAGGATGGATGTACTCTGGCAAAAACAAAATTTTATCTGAAGCTGCATTCTGTAACTGGCAGTTTCAGTTTAAGCAGAGAATGTGTGTAGTGGGGCTGCTTCCAGCTATGAAAGAATATACTTTATTCAAATATATTTAAAGTAGGTTAAAATATATCACTTAAATGCACATGTATATATTTCTTAAGGAGTAACATCAAGAAGTAGTTTGGGCACTCTGACAGGATTGTATCATATCAAATTTGCTTTACAAATTGAAAAATCTCACTCTTCTGTGTTTGAGAACTTGCCTTAGCAGACTGCCTAGAACTGTAATTCTCTGGCTCTTTCTCCCATTGCTCTTGGGCTCTAAAATCTGCAAAATGAAGCCAAATTGTGAAGTAAAGACGTAAGCAAAGTAATTTTACTCTGGACTTCATGTTTATAAGATTTAAGAGGAGAAATTAAGGAAGACAAATCATTCATGTTCCCTCCATCCCACTCTAAAGGAGGATGACAGGCAACTGGGAAGTAAGCAGGAGGCTGGAAAAAGCCATGAGTGAAACTAATAACTCAGAGACTTTGTTAAGGACGAGGCCTGTTCAGTGACTTCAGAAAACAGCAATGGCTAGAGCCATGTGTTTTAGATTAAGTGACCTGTGATAGCCTGCAGAAGTTCCAGATCAAATTAGGTTGGTTTGTTTATCCTGTACTGCAAATTGAATTGTGGAAATTAACAAGGAAAATAGAATTGTAGAGTCAAAAGTGACCTTGTGGGTCATGTAGGCAAAGCTCTTCCTAGTGCTGGGACTCCTTTCCAGCCCTCCCGACCGCTGCCTGTCCGGCCTGTCCCTGCGCTTGTGCAAAGGCCTGAACCTGGCACCTCGGAGGCAGCTTGTTTCAACTTGGAATGGTTCTGTGGAAAGGTGAGCTGAGATCTGCTCTCCCATAAGGTCCACGCAGGGGCTTTGCTTCTTATTTCTGGGGCTTTGTATCAGTTTACCTCCTTACCCTCTTGAGAGCCCACCACATCTTTGAAAACAGCCTTGGACATCTGTTGCTTCGGCCCATCTGGCATTTGCCCACCTTCTTGTGTGGAGCGAGGTGAAGTTCCATGTAGTCTCCAGGAGTGAAACTGGGGATTTGGTCAAAGTCAAGTCATTTAGGGGCAATGAGACTAGGTCTTTCGTTGGAAATTCCTATTTATCACTAGGAGACTGTGGGGATTGCTGGTAAGCATGGCTCTGCCTGAGCAAGAAAGAAAGCAGCCTTGTGAAGAAAGTGCATAGCAAAGAGCAGAGCAGGGAGATGGAAAAAGACGAGTTCTGACGACACAGCGTTAGAGCTTTGCCCAGATCCAGATTTCTTGATTAACTCTGCGTTATGTGGAACAGCTTAGTCTGTTTTTCCCTTGAGCCATTTTGAACTGGCATCTCTTGTGTGGTGTGACAGTGCACTAACACAGATAACTCTCCGATCTCAGGGTAGTTTTTCGTCTTTCAAACTTTTTTTTGTGCAACACAGTGTCTATGCCTTTTGTCACTACTTTAAATATACTTTTGGATGTGCTTCAAGCTAGAGGATATTGGTATTTTCTGAGTTTTATATGGAGGCAAAAACATTACACAACCACTTTCTAATCTGTTTACCAGAGCACTGGGCCCCTGCACCCCCTTCCTAAGTCACCCGTCAGCTTCGTGATGAGCAGTTCAGTAAATTCTGGAGACACTCCCAAAATTAGGTGCCCGTGTCTATGAAAAACTGCAGTGTTTGGTGTTTAAGAAGTGTTTGGGGAAATAAACTGAAAATATAAGCCTGTCAGGAGTGATAATTGAATTAGTTAAAACATATCTTAAAGGTCAAGTTGAGAATTGATCACAGAGTTCTGACTTATTTAAAAATACTTGCAACAGTACTTATTTCTAGCAGTTGATGTAACTCCAAGTAGAATTAGAACTGTATTTTGTTTCTGTCCTCCTCCATCCAGTTCTGAGAAGACAAAAATTTATGAGCTGGTCAATTTGTATCTGTACTTGAAGTTAATTTTCAGAATTCACCAGAGATGTTCAGAAAATTGAAGCCTAAAACTAAAGCCAGCATTGCTCTGCTAGGCTATTTGAAGATGGTTCGTTATTGAGTGACATTTGGCTAAGAAATGGAGTAGGAAATTGAGGACTCACCGTTATCTAGGTAAAATGAACACTAGGGTTTTGGCACATAACAACTATTTGGAGTAAAGAGTTGGAAGGTACCTTCCCAGTAAGATTTCTGCATAAATAAAAGCAGCAGTTAAAAATTTTTCATTTTGTTACCTTGGAAGATTTCTTTGATGATCCTACAGATGTCATCACCCTTAAAGAGTGAAACATATATACATACAACACACAATCCGTCTTTCTATCTCTATCTCCTCTTGTTGACTGGACAAGCAGAAGAATGGAGTGCAGGAAGAAAAAGGCCAGCTTGCGGTTTGAAATTCCAAAGATCAGTAAGTATATCAGAGGATGCTCTAGGAAACACATGCTGCTTTATTTTTGTGAGGTAGCATAAGCAAAGTTTATGGACAATTGCAAAGCAAGTGTGAGAAGAGGGTCAAGTACTGTTGGAAAAAACCAGCTAAGTTTGAGGCTGAGCCTCATGATACAGTTTCAGTCTCCAGGTGCATGCAGTCAGTGAATCTGCCTTCTATGCTGCAGAATAAACTAGACCTACCAACTGTGTAAACTCCATCCCTACATCGAGGCATCCGTCTGCGCACCTGCCCAGCTCTACCTAATTTCCCACAGACTCAGATGATTTGTGCTGCTTCTCCTGGGCATTGTTCTCTTAGTCAAGCATTTGGCTTATTCTTAAATGCTTCCTCTTAATTTTTCCTTCTCAGTAGCCATAAGTATGCTTCAGATTATGAATGAATGAATTAATAAATGAATTAATCAATCAATTAAATGAGACACTCAGTCTTGGAACTATTTCTGGCTTATTAAAACTTTTAAAGGTTATTAAAACTTTCCCATTATAGCCAGCCTGCTAGAATGAATATTCTACAACTATTTTTGCTTCCTTAAATCCCGCTGGTATTTAACCCACTGAAGGAAGAAGCAATCTGGATTCTTCCTTCTACATTATCTCGCCAAAAGTACTTTAACAAATAACACCAGTTCCTAATTTTCAGACCTTATTCACTGCGTTTGATACAGTTATCAATTTTTTCTAGAAACCCTCATCCAAGCTTTTTGGGCACTATTTCTCCTTAATTATAGCTCTCTCTTTCTAAATATTTCTCCTATTTTCTTCCATGTGTTTTTCTTCTGCTGTTCATTCCCTTCTGTAAGTTCCCAGGAGAATCTTATCTTATTTTCTCTTGCTTCTTTCTCTACTACTGTCCTTGAAATTTCTGCGATACTACATACCATAATGTACAACGACAGTTCCCAAACCCTTCTCCCATCTGTAGCCCCAACTTTGCTATTAGAGACTTCCATTTGTACAGTGTTGTACAAATTCAAGTCATTTTATTTTCCGTAAGTTCATTGCTGCCTTCTAAATTATTTTCCTTCCTATTGTATTCCTTGGACACTGATATTATCATCTACATAGTCACCTAAATCAGAAACATAAAAGGAAATTTACATTTCGTTTCTCCTTTCCATATCTCATAAATGCCCAGATCTTGTCAGCTCCGTATCCTTGATGTCTCCGCAGCTAGGACTTCTTCTCAGTCCATCCTGCCTTTGCTGCATTGGCTCACACTCATACATCACCGCAAATAAATCCTCTCTTCGTTCCTTCATTATCTGTAGGGTAAACAACTCCTTAGAAAGGTGTAGCAGGCCCTGTGCCTTGGTACACTCTTTCATTCTTACATTGCTTTCCCCAGGTTCCCCCTCCAGGCTTCTCATCCCCTGTGTGTCTTACAGTACTGGCCCATACTTCTTTTCACCCTCTTGGAATGTCCTCCTTTCTAGTCTATTGTCTTCTTGAGTGGCACCTCCTCATTTTTTCAAGATTCATCTCTATCATGAACGTATCAGTAATGGAAACAAAAACAAGATCATTTCTAAGCTTTTGCTATCTCAAGTGCTGTCAGTCCCCTGAGCATCATCCTGGACATCATTTGGTGACTTGTTAGAAATGCAGGACCTCAGGCCTTACCCCAGGCACACTGCACCAGCTCTTCATTTTAAAACTGATTCACAGTCATAGAATAATGTGTGACTGTAGGCACGTTAAAGTGTGAGAAATCCTGCTGTAGGAAGAAATGGCTAAACCCACCTCCGTGATCATGTACTTACGTGCCAGCTACTATGTATTTCTCATTTATACCTTACAACACCTCACTGAAATACATATTATCACCTACAACTTAAAAATGATAAATAAAAGAGGCTCAAGGTACAATTACATGGCTACAAAGCCTAACCCTAACCTGGTTATGAGTGTTTAGTCTATGTTCTTGCTCATCCCAAGATACTCTCTAATATAATGGAACTGAAGTCATTTTCATGCCTACCTCTCTCTGCTAGTGCCGTGATGTGGTTCTAGCACAGAGATGTCTTACTGAATGAGCATTCTCTGTTCATGTGGATTGGCCTCCTTACAACAACCAGCAGCACTCAGCTCTAGCTTAAAAGAATGGTATAAATATCCTCAACTGTGTGAGTAAGAGGGGCTGGAACCAGGTCTCCTGTTCCAGTCTCTTCTTTCAAGAAAAGCTGATGAAGAAGGGACCTCAAGAGGAGTAAGAGGAAATTACTACGGACTGTGGAGGGGCTAGAGGAGGCTTTGCAGGCAGAAGGTATAAGAAAAAGGTAAGGTCAGGTCTCTTGGCCTGATTGTGCTTTCTATCTTGGGTCTGGAAGCTGGAGTGGAGAACACATCATTTGTAGCTGTGCTTTATTTCTCTCAAAGTTTAATAACTGCCCTTTTGAAGTTTCTACCCTGTCAATGAACACTTAAGGAAAAAGGCTTCATCCACAACCAGGACAAAATA